TAGATTGAATGCACAAAGATTGATAAAATTTATTTTACCTAAAGGTACACTTTACAGTTCTGGAACTTCCCACAAAAATATTCATACAGCTCTTCACAGCATCCATAGTACAAACAGTAGTTACACTTCAGACTACTAAGAACATTAAACATAATGCACTCCAAAGTACGTTTAAAGAGTGAAACTAACATGGAGATATCTCAGTACTCTGAACCTGGCTGAACTAAACAACTACTACTTCAAAACTGATGCTATTTTTGGTCTTAGTTTTTCCCCTGGCCACCCTGAAATCTGTAGTATTTCTTGATATTACCTGAAGGCATGTGAGGGCCAGATATGGTTAGAGTTACATATAGCATCAATTACATTTATTCAGTTACAATAACTATTATACTTCTACATGAACTGGACCGAAATGTCGTCAAATTTGGCGACTTCTGGCAACAAAAATTAGTCACCAAAATCATTGCCAACTTAGCGATATCTCGCCAATTTAGCGAATAGTAACTTAATTAGTGCTAAATAGACTCACCCCTCTATTCTTACTTTTCTGGCAAGTTTCACTTTTTTAGATTTTCATACTACGTTATATAAAAATATATATATATATGAAAGGTTTCAGATTTTAAATTACGTCCAAAGGGGCATTTTTTTAACATTTTGTGTGTTACCTTTATTTATTAAGTATCATGTTCTTTGCACTTAAACTATAAAATTCAGTTCAACAGTAATATCGCAAAATAATTTTAAAATGAGCATATCTTTAGAATTTCCGATACACAGTTCCAAGCGCTGGAGATAAAAAGTTCCTTGCCCCGTAGAGTGTTGCCATTTCTTGCTTTTAAATTGTTGAGATTGTTAATCAAAAATCATTAAAGTTTTACAAAATATGAAATCAATAATAAGAAAAGTTCTAAATTTCAAATTTGGGTTTTCAGATGCCCATATTTGCAATAGGATTACATCATTCAAAATTGGATGACTATAGGCACCATTGTTTTATCACATTGCAAAAAACATTCATACATTTATGCAGATTCTTCATTATTTAATTTCTTCAATGCAGGACTCTAACATTTGGTGGCAACAATTTGAAAAGTGATACTCCATTAATAGTGATTTGACGCAAAATCGCGAAACGAAAAGAACAGTCCTTCAGGGATAAAGCCCCTCTGAACTAAAAAAAATTACAGTTTCACATAAAATTTCGTTAAAATTATTTATACATGTACAAAATTCATAACAATATATATGTAACCTGACAGAAGTATACATTATCTCCTCCTTATAGCATATAACATTCACAGAAATATGTGCAATACAGCACAAGTATTCCAATGACCACTACAAATTATCCTAGTCCATATCATTAAACTATTCTTTCCTTTAAAATAAACATGTTTTTTTGATTTAATGGGTAATAGTGTGTTCTTAAATTGCCTCCAGATAAACTGATGATACTATTTATAATACCACAAGCTGAATTTCAAGCCATTAGTAAAGAGGAAAAAAGTCTAACTATGTTCATTTTATGAAAGATATTGTCTTCACAACTTTAAACAAATTTCACATGTGCATACTAAAGCAATGAAAACACCTGTGCATCCAAGTAGGCATATTAGGTACCACTGGCTCTTGTTAACTGCTAAGTTTCTGCGCTGATTGGAATTCCAAAGGACAGCACCCTGGGGTGTGGTATGAGGGTCTCTCCAACTCTCCCACCACCAGCAACCTCTTGAGGAAATTTCAGCTTGCTTTGTATTTTCAGTGCCCACTTGCCGCAGAGACACTATATGTTTACAAACATCCATACCTTATCCGTGAATAGAACCTGGGCCCTTCAGAATGGTGTCAGGATCATTAATCACTATCCCTCATCTGGGCTGCAATCAGGCTTTACAGTAAGAACGCAAATTACATGTCTCTTGATATCCAATATGATCAAATTTCCAATATATGATTTTCTTTGAACACACTCCTTCTAATGATCTAGGAAAAGTGTTGCCTGGAATTGGCCACAACTGCTTGGTAGCATACATTCTATGCCTGTTTGTTAATAAAATAAAATACTGATCATCCTTTTTTTTTTTTTTTTTTTTTTTTTTTTTTTTGTACAACTTCGTGGGCATCGACTATGGTTAATTTTGACACATCAGAAGTCTCATTAAATTGTTTCCATAACTATATGTCACTTTGGCTGAGTATCACAACTGGAACAACATTCAAACTAGAGTGGCTAAAAGTTGTTCCTACAACCTGAACTCCCAGATACAAGACTACCTACAATCATCCAGCAAACTGAAATACAAACACATATGTACAACATGCAGAATGCAGTTACAAAGTTGCAAACAACTGTTGGCATCCATCGAAAATGAGAGAGGTGTGACATCGTGAATATCCCAGATGCAAGGAAGATCACATTAGTGATGCATCAATCTTTTATTTACATCACTATTAAAACGCATGAAAACAGAGATATAAATTTTAATTTGCACACATTTAGAAATATTAATGTGGCGACACACTGCTTTCTGTGGCAACCCTAACATGCCCAGATGCATCATTATGTCTACCTCTACTTTTCTGTTTGATAGTTAGTTGCATTTAAGATTTTGTAGAATGAGAAATGGCATGAAAAATAAATGTTGGTTTTTAAAAAGTGTCGGCTCAGATTTTCAAACCTATAAATTACTTGTTAAGCAACAAATTTGGCGAGCCTAGAAAGCATGATATTATCGATTTCAACACTTGATAATTTACGAAAATAAGAGAAGTTCCTAGGTGCAAACATGGAGGATTTAGAAACACTAAAACAGAAGCGGAAAGCAATTAGGAGTGTATTTACGAAAACAGCTAATAAGTTAGATGAACTGATACGATCAGATTCTCCGGATTTGGACGATTTAGAAATTTATTTAGATCAAATTTCAGAGAAGTATAAAACTTTACGAAATACGGATGACTCTTTTTTGGAACTTCTACAGAAAAAAGGCTGTACTGAAGAAGAATACGAAAGAGAATTTAGTGCAGCTCAAGAATATTACGATAAATTATCTACGTTGAAAGTAAAAGCCAACAGGAAAAAAGATAAGTGTTCACAGCCTTCTACTGGTTCAACGAATAGCGGTTCTTCATCAGGAATAGTTACGGCCGCAAAACAGAAATTGCCAGAGATCGAACTGGTGAAGTTCGATGGAGACTCCCGAAAGTGGTTGACGTTTTGGACAAGGTTTAGTAAAATACATGAAGATACTCGCATCGACAAGAGAGACAAGTTTCATTATCTACTACAATCTACGAAACCTGAGACTGCGCCTAGAGCAATAGTGGAGAGTTTTCCTGCTACGGAAGAAAATTACGAAAAAGCCGTGGAGTATCTCAAAGAACGATTTGGAAATGAAAATGTTTTAATTCAAATTTATGTTAGAGAGCTATTAAAACTGGTAATCAATGACAAACAAAAGATAGACTTATTAACTCTTTATGACAAGTTGCAAACTCAACTACGCGCATTGGAATCACTCGGTTTAACTAAAGATAAATTTGCAGTTGTTTTATTTCCTTTAGTGGAATCAGCACTTCCTGCTGATTTAATACAAATTTGGGAAAGACAACGAGGTATGTCTCCTGAAACAACAGGTAAGAGTGATTTAGAGTCATTAATTGATTTTCTAAAAAGGGAAGTAGAAACTGAATTTAGAGTTAAACTTACCCGTGATGTTTTGGGTTCTGATAAAGTAAGTAATAAGAAAAATAAGTTTTTTGACACAAAACCTGTTGTTCCAACTGCATGTGAACTAATTAATGCAAATAGTAATAATAATAGTAAGTGTAATGAAAATTTTCAAAAGTATAAAAAGTCTGATACTTGTATTTTTTGTGAAAAATCCCATTTGTCTGAAAGTTGTAAAGATGCATCTTTAATGAGTTTAGAATGTAAGAAAGATATTATTAAGAAAAAGAATGTTTGTTTTGTGTGCCTTAAGAAAAACCATAGAGCAAATCAGTGCACAGCTAAACATAGGTGTACCTTATGTAAAAATCGACATTTTGTGATTATGTGCCCTGATTTGCCTTCTAACAAAACAAAAAGTGTCACAAAGTTAGGGAATGACGAAAACAAAACAGGCATTCTTAATAACTATGTTAAGGTATCAGATGTATATCTTCAAACTTTAATTGTAAAAATTCAGAATGGTTCTAAAGAAATGTTTGTACGAGCAATTTATGATAGTGGTTCTATGAAATCATATTTATGTAATGATGTTGCTCAAAGGTTAAATTGTAAGTGTATTGGTGAATCAAAAATTAAGCAATTTCTTTTTGGTGGAGTTGAGACTTCAGAAAATGTATATAAAAAACTATGTTATTGAAGTAAGCAATATATATAGTAAATATAAGTGTAAATTAGAGGTACTTGGTCAAAACAAAATTTGTTCTGAAATTAAGCAACTCCCATCTGGTTCGTGGTTACGCGAACTTAAGTCACATGGTATCAAATTAAGTGATTTAGAAAATGGTACATGTAAGGTAGATAAAGAGATAAAATTACTAATTGGTGCGGATTTTGCTGGTAAGTTGCTAACTGGAAAAATTGTTCCCCTTACGTGCGGCGTCAGCGCGGTGCATACGCAATTAGGCTGGACTGTTATGGGTAAATTTACTGGCACTGAGCCAACTACGATAAATACTGCATCCCTCCTAATTTCTTCTCTGTTAGTGAAGGGTCAATGTATAAGTGATCTCTGGAAGTTAGATGTTTTGGGTATTAGTGAACCTTCCGTAAGTAAAACCAAAACTCAGTTACAGGAGGATACGCAAAAATATTTTGAAAGAGACTCTTACGGTAAATTCAGAGGGAAGGTACGAAGTAGCATTACCTTGGGTGTCGGATGGATAGCTCGCTTTTACCCGAAAACAAAGTGATAGCAGAAAAATGTCTTGTAAGTACTAAAAGAAAATTAATGACTACGGGAAATTTTGACGCTTACGGAGACGTTTTCCAGAACTGGTTAGCACTCGGGATAATTGAAAAAGTACCGGATAAGAATAAATATAAGGGTGTACATTATTTACCTCATAGAGCAGTTGTTAAAGAAAATAGTAGCACGAGTATAAGACCGGTGTTTAATGCAAGTTCTCATTCGCCTGGTTACCCATCATTGAACGATTGTTTATCTACTGGACCAAATTTAATTAGAAATTATACCTTCGATTCTTAATCGGTTTCGCAAGAATTACGTTGGTGTCACTTCAGATATAGAAAAAGCGTTCTTGCAAATATCTATAAGGGAAAAAGATCGAGACTTTTTTGAGATTTATGTGGTTCAGTAGGGATAATCAAGAACAAGTTGAACTGTATCGGCATGGAAGGGTAGTTTTTGGTATTACGTGTAGTCCGTATTTATTGGCCGCTACAATACAATATCATTTGAGTGTAGTTCCCGAAAGCTTAAGTCATACAGCGGAGATTTTGAAAACATCCTTTTACGTAGATAACTGTGTGGCTAGTATGGATTCAGAAATAGAAATGAGAAAGTTTGTAAATGAATCACAAATAATTATGGCTTCGGGTCATTTTAATTTAAGATTCTGGAAATCCAATATAAGAAGTGTTGTGCCAGAGGAAGATTCCTCCACGGAAGGAGATGTGTCTGTTTTGGGCCTTGTATGGCATACAGTTACAGATACCTTATCTTGCAAAATAAGTCAAGATATAAAATTGGATGACCCAGTTACTAAAAGACTAGTTTTAGCAGTAGCTCATCAGGTGTTTGACGTTATAGGGTATACGGCTCCTGTAATGTTGATTCCAAAACTAATTTTACAGGAAACTTGGAATTTAAGGCTTAAATGGGACGATGTTCTTCCCGATGAATTAACCAAAAAGTTTAGGTTTTGGCTTAAAAAGTTGTACTTGCTATCCAGTATCCAAATACCTAGATGGGTAGGTCTCAAATCTATTAATGAAGCTGTGAGTATACATCTCTTTTGTGACAGTAGTAAAAGTGCGTATGGTGCATGCGTCTTTTTAAGAGTACAGAGTGGCAAAAAGGTGAAGGTTAGTTTTGATACACGCAAGATCGAGAGTAGCTCCTTTAAAACCTATTACGATTCCGATTCCTCGATTAGAACTTCTTGCTTGTAATATTGGTTCTAGGTTATTGTCTTCAGTTATTAATGATATTGGCCTACATGAAGTTCGTATTCATTGTTGGACTGACTCCTCGACGGCTTTAAGTTGGATACGGCGAAATCAACGTTGGGGAGCATTCGTTTTTAATCGTGTACAGGAAATCAGGTCTTTGACCTCCCCCACTGTATGGCGACATGTCCCTGGTAGTCTCAATCCTGCTGACCTACTTTCTAGAGGTTGTTATGCAGATCAATTAATAGAACGAAAATGGTGGGAGGGACCTGATTGGTTACGGGAAGATGAGGCAAATTGGCCTAAATCTAATGATGAACCAGATGAGGATTTGGTTAATTCAGAAATACGTAAGACAGTTATTGTTACGTTGGCAAAGAAGTGATAATTGTATTGGATGGTACTATAAGTATTTCTCATCATTTAAGAAAATTGTAAGAATGTTATCATGGATATTCAGATTTTATAATAATGTACGTAAGAATAATAATAATAACAACCATTCTAAGGATTTGACTGTATCTGAAATAGAAAGGGGAGAAATAGCTTTAATGTTATTAATAGAGTTGTTTAATGGTCAAACAGATGATAAGCTAAGACGACTGAGACCATTTGTCAATATTCAGGGTCTAATAAGAGCTAAGTCTAATGTTGCTTATCGTGACGACTCTAGCAGCTTTAAGTTCCCCATCATATTACCTTCTGAACAGCCAGTAGTCAAATTATTGATATTAAGTACTACATTGTTGATGTCGCATTTAAGAGAAAGATACTGGATCTTAAAATCACGTAAATCTATAAGAAACTGTATAAGAAAATGTGTAACATGCCAGAAATTGAAGGCTAAAAGAGGTTAGACAGTCCCAGGCGTTTTACCAAATGATAGGGTTCGTGATTCATCAGCCATTTTTGAAATCGTAGGGTGTGATCTTGCCAGGACCCTTGCATTTAAAGGATGGACGAAAATCGTATATTGTGCTCTTCACCTGTGCGGTTTATCGTGCTATCCATATGGAACTGGTTACCTCATTAACAACTGAATCATTTTTTCAAGCTTTAAGGCGTTTTATTTTATCGCACGTCGTGGACGCCCTACCACCATATATTCCGATAATGGGACAAATTTTGTGGGTGCAGAGAGAGTTCTGCAAACCATTGACTGGGACAGCCTCTGCTCTAAGGCTGCTGAAAAGAGAATACAATGGAAATTTAATCCTCCATCCGCCGCTTGGTGGGGTGGATGGTGGGAGCGTTTAATACAAATTGTAAAACAAATATTAAGAAAAATTTTAGGTCGTGCTTCTCTTGGTTATGAAGAGTTACTCACCGTCTTGTGTGATTGTGAAAGAATTGTCAACTCAAGACCACTTACGTACGTGTCTGACGATATTGAAGATCCCTTGCCTTTAACTCCAGAAAAATTTCTGCATGAAACTCCACAGTCGGGTGTACCTGATATTGACAATGTGGACAAAGAAAAAATTGAGTAGAAGAGCGAAGTATCTCCAGAGAATGAGAGAATTGTTAAGAGTGAGATTTCGCTCTGAGTATCTAGGGCAGTTAAGACAGCAGTCTACCAGAAATTACAAAAATAAACCTCTCTCTGTAGGAGAAATTGTCTTGCTGGAGGATCAAAATAAAAACCGTGCATATTGGAATTTAGCACGCGTTATTCGGGTGATCCCTGGTCGAGATGGCAACATAAGAGTTGCTCTTGTAAAAAGTAATAATTCAGAGTTCTTGAGACCAATACAGAGATTGTTTAGATTGGAACTGGATAATATAATAGATAATACTCAAAAATGAGCAAGTTCCTTTCACCACCAGTAGTGGTAGAGTTGTAAAATCACGAATAATGTAATTCATATCTTTGAAGTTATTATGATTTATTTTGTTGTGCTATTATTGTTGTATTATTCCTCAGTATTAATTTTGTTTTCAAGTAATATGATTTAAGTATTAAGTAATTTTCTTTGTTATATAACCATCATTTATATTGATGTAAGTTTTATGTTTTGAGTGTGTAGCCATCCACTCAAAAGGTGGGAGAATTGTGGCGACACACTGCCTTTCTGTGGCAACCCTAAAGAATTCGTCTGTCACGAGGATCACGTGCCCAGATGCATCATTACGTCTACGTCTGCTTTTCTGTTTGATAGTTAGTTGCATTTAAGATTTTGTAGAATAAGATATGGCATGAAAAATAAATGTTGGTTTTTAAAAAGTGTCAGCTCAGATTTTTGAACTTATAAATTACTTGTTAAGCAACAATTAATAAAGTTTCGAGTTGGTGACATGTTTAGAGATGGCAAAAACAACGTGATGATGTTGATAATGGATGATGGCACTCATCACACCTGACCTCAGCAGATGAAAATTTTCCACACTTCAGTTTGCCGGTAAGGCTTCCAATCTCTCTCTCTCTCTCTCAGAAACCCAACACTGAACACTTTGATGTTCTGCTTGTGCAGCCGCAGTACCTCATCAGCCTTATTACCATTTATACCTCATCAGCCTTATTACCATTTATACCTCATCAGCCTTATTACCATTTATACCTCATCAGCCTTATTACCATTTAGAGTTATGGGATACTACTACTGTCTAAAGTTCATTACAGAGGAAAACTCACTTTTTGGAAGACTTTGCATATATATCAAATTTCAGATAATTTTTTTTAAACTGAATATTTCTAATAAATGCCTGCATATACTAAGCAAATTTATGCACTACTTTTAATGAAATTTTAACAAAGCCCCTACTTTAGATTTTTAATTGACATGTATAAAGTATGAAACATACAAAATAAACTGGAATGACTAAAAAGGATAAATAAAAATATTGATCATAATGTTTACTTTAAAATATACTCCAAGATTAGCTTTTATATTGAAACCAATCTGCTTATTAAATCACTTTTATTACCTAATGAGTAGTTCATATATTATCGAAAGCTAGAATTTAATTAGGGTGCAAGATGTAAAACTGAAGAAATCTGAGCAGAAGAAATATTCTATTATAATTTTTGTTATTAGAAAGATTACATAATATTAACAAATAAATATACTGTAGCAGAACTCACAGTTTCTGGAATTGATGACCAGGCATTGGAACACTTAATATTAGTCCTTCAGCATCCTATATTAATACAATACTACATAAATAAAAATTCATTAAAATTTTTATAACTTCTTTTTTAATTATCAATAAATATAAAATATTTATTAAAAAGATTCAAATGTTACTTTTTTCCCAACATGTATTATACTAGTTACATAAGCATATTATACTAGTTACACAAGCAAATTTTTATTTCTTGTAACACTAATTTTGATATACTGCTTTTCACATTAAAAATATTTCACTTCAAATTAAGGCATATTTTTTAACTATACAATATAAGTAAGATATACTATTGCAATTAAAGCTGGCATGTTCTGTAATTGTAATGAATAAGTGGAATTAAACAAAATGTATCCGAAAAGGCATTCTGCATGAATAAAAACTGCCATACAAAACTTCCAGCATATGGGATGCTCCATTTTACATAAATATGACAGACATTAAACAGTATATTTGCTTTAATTGTAGTAAAAACAAGTATCTGTAGTAAATTATATTGCTTGTTTGCAATCACAGAATATATCCCAAGGCCATTATCAGTAAATGCTTAAAAAATGACATAAAAATAAATATGGATGTAATCCATACTACACTGTGATTAGGTACAGACAAAAGCATTTCTTGGAACACATAATTTTTGTTATCCCAAATGCAACACATATATATGTTTATGGTTCCATTCAGATAAAAATGTGCTTTGATGTCATTTGCAATGCTTGAAATTTCCACTATAAATGTTTAAAATGTTTTCTGTGACATTTTCAATTATTTAACAGGCTTCTTTTTCTATACTTCCAATGTAAAGTACCCTCTAGGGAACACTTTTCTTTTAGAACTTTTTTCCATTGCAGAATTTCTTTTTGTATTCTTTGGCTAATACCAATAAAAAATTTTGATATCATTCCTCACCAGTAACAACTGTAGAGTAATACAAATAAAGCTTATTTAAATCATGATCACTTTATATTTTATTTAGGTAGAATATGTTCTAAAAATTTATAAACTCTGAAAATTTGATTTCATTGGCAAATTTAAGTTATACTAATAACTAACTAGTTGTGGCCAATAACTAAAATAATTTAGTTATTAATAATTTATAATAATTTAAGTTATTACCAATAACTAAAATATTTAAATGGGCTAGTCAGTGGTTGGCAAACTCATTAATCAAGAGAGGCACAGATCTGTAGTAAAATAAAGATTTCTTTTGTAAGTCAAATTTGTTTTCAAGAACCATGTTTATAGGATTCAGTTTAAACTAGCTTCTAACATTAAATAAAACCAGGTATTATAATAACAATCATCTAATTTATTAATAAACAATAGCTTTACATTAGGATAAAAATATGACAAAACACACATTTAACGTGAACAATGACCATGTTCCAAGGAAAGTTTCAATAGATCTGGTTTGTCAATGTTTTTAATTTCAAGCAGGATTCCAGGTTCTCATCAATAAATCAATTTTACAATTTACTTCTGATAAGGTTCATGCTTGAGAAAGATTATTCATATGAATATAAACAGCCAAAGCATAAAAAAACTGCAAATACTAGTTTTTTTTTTTTTTTTTTTTTTTTTTTTTTTTTTAATTGAACATTTAAGTCAGGATATAATTCCAGTTGTTGAAAATTATTATGCCAAATTATTATTATCCAGTCTTCAAAGCAGGCTACTTTTGCTGTAAACTAAGATCACATTTATTTTACTCCAGTTTTTCAATATCAGTATTAAGGGATTCAGGTTTGAAGCTTCATAAATCTTTGTTTTCTGACTCCAGGAACTGCACTTCAAAGCATCAGTGTCTATATTAATGGAAGCAAAATTCAGATCTGTTATGTCAGCATTGTGGTAATTTTTTAACAAAGGCTAACATTGCTATCTATTTCTGAATTCCAGAAACCTCCATAAAAAAAAGCTTCCATTATATTTAAAATTGTTGTTTTGAAATAGTAAATGTTCAGTTACTGAATTATTTTCTCAGTGATGTTTTAGCAAGCTTGGAAAATGAATTAATGTTTCTCTTTAAAAATATTGAGCAAAAAGAGGTAATTTCTTTTTGAATGAAGTGACTTCCAGCATTGAAAAAATTGCATTTTCTTTCCCCCTGAAGTTTATGAGTAAGATAAATGTCAGTGTGCCATGAAAAAATTTTGGATCAATTAATCATCCACTAGTTCAGGATAGTCAACACACTTCTCAAGAATAAATGCTTTAATTTCTAATAATAAGGAAACAAAACATTTTAAAACATTTCCTTCTGAAAGCCGACATACCTGATTATGCAGCAGAAAATCTGTTTATTTATCTCCCATTTCAACTAAAAACTCCTTAAATCACTGATGATAAAGAGCTTTATCTACAATTATGTTGACAATCCTGATGACCAATCCCATAATATTATGAATTTCTTCCGGAAATGTCTCCTTCTTCTTCTTGATGAATGATGCAATGGTAAACAAGCATCTCGGAATTAATATTTTCCTTCGAAATAGGAACGAAACCTTTTTTTCACTCCAGTCATACTTTCTTTCCTATCTTTTGAAACTGAAACAACTTTATTCAGGAGAATATGATGTTTCTCCATACATTCAATGACAGCATTTGCAATATCCTCACCCCATGTTTGACTTTTCAGCAGGAACAATCCTAAAAGTTCTTTAGAAACTGCAGATGAAATAAACTGAATAAAAAGTGGAACTTGCACTTTGACATTTATGTTACAAGAATCATCAACAGCTATTAATAAAGCTTAAACCAATTTAAGATCTTCAATTTGCTTATTGGTTTTATTATAAAACATTTTGACTGATTTGTCATTTACCGTTTCAACAAACAATGGTAACTTTAATTTGTTTAAGAATTTCTACCTCATTCTTAAAATTCCAGAATAGCTCTTTGAATGCATTTTTAAAATTACTTTTAATGTATTCATTGCTGGTGCTTGGTTTGCCTCCCTTAGCAATCTCTAGACTAATAACACAGCTCGCTATATTAACATTGTAGGAAGATTACATGCAATAATTAAATACAGAATTTGATTTTTCTTGATTCTTTTGCAGTTTCTCATACCACTGGTGGGATATTTACTGCCAAATGACACATGTTCAAATCACAAAAATCAAGTAAAGTGTCGCTTCGAATTTGATTTCTAACTATATGCTAATTTTTCTTGGCACATAGACATGTTAGAAGGCCATTTGAGTTTCCATTAAATGCGAATGATTCAGTTCATTCAATTTTACATGCATGGCTTCGTTTTCCATTTTTCTTTGCTTCGTCTTCGTAGCCATATGAAAAAGCTGACATCTAAAAATATGTTTCATTTTCTAACAATGAAAGCAGGAACACAGAGTTATAGCAACTTATTAAAGTGATGTCAAAACCATGTGTGAGATTTGCAGTTGGTTAAAAAATACAATTAGCTTAATGTGCCAAGTAAGACTTTTTGTCACGCCAATCACTGACCATTGTACACATTGACAGACAAGTTGTGACTGGCTTGCTCTCACTCACTTCATGCATTAATCATGTGGGCTACATCTGTGCCTGTAGATGTTACATCAACCCGACCAGTACCAACTGCAAAACTGATTCATCAATTTGTGACACAACCATGTCCATATGGCTAAAGAGCTGCAGTTTGCCAACAGATGGGTTAACTAAATGAGCTCTTTAGAACTAAATAACTATACAGAATAAAAGTTAGACATTTTAAATCAATAAAATCAATTTTCTCTTTATTTCCAAAGCTTTATTAAGCTTTATTAAGCTTTATTAAAAGCTTTGCATAAAAGAATCCTAAATGAAATATGCAAAACCATGAAGACTTTATTTTACAAATAAAAACTTAACTTACAACACCTGGGAAAATATTTTTTAATGATTCGGCAGCAGTTGTAGCTTTATATTTTCCACCTTGTAAGCAATCTTCAAATGTGTAAAGAGTCTGCCTCACAGGATTTGAATAAGAAACACGAGAATTATCAACAAATGTAATTTTCCGCACACCCCAGCCCTAAAAATGTAGGAAACAATCCGCATGAGAATTTTGATGTAATAAAGAAGCAAATTTGAATAACAAAGAGTAATAAAGTTTCAAAGCGATTTCATTATTTTGGTCAAACATCAAACTGTTTAATTTTCAATCTTATAAAAATCAATACATTTACAGCAAGAGGACTTTTACATTCTTGCTAGATATTTATTTGATAGAGTACCAACATGAAGATGTTACATAAAGAATGATTAAAAATAACATTTTAACATAAAAGGATAATTACAACCAAGAAATAAAAAATTTTCTTCAAAGGTAACTGATACTATGAAGCACAAAATACAGAAACAATTACGTATGAACAAATATAAAGAGATTACTCATGAGTACATGTTACATGTACTTTACATGTACAAGTACATGTACTTTGAAATTTTTATGATTTAGATTCAAATACTTATCTTTTTATAAAATCTCTCCCTGCTTATTTGAGAAAAATTATCAGTTGTTTTTAAAAAGTTAGCACAAGAGCTAAAATTTGTTTTATTATTAAAATGATGATTTTAATTAATATATTGTTTGTGAAATATATATATGAAAAGGGTAATAACTAATCCATAATGACAAAATACTTTGGAGAGTAATATATAAAAAAAAAATACAGTACAAAGTCCATAATCCGGATTCGTTGAGACTTCGGCGATTCCAGATTATAGATCATCAATTTAAATCTGGTAAGATGACATGCAGAAATTACACAATTAAAAATATGAAACCGTAATTTATAAAATAAACAGCAATTATGATCTAAAGAGTATCAAAATTTACAAAAAAAAAAAAAAAAGCTTAATATTTATTTGTTTACTTAATTAAACATTTCTTTCAATGTAAGTTGTTTAAGTTGCTTCGTTTTTTGTGCTAATACTTTTTCTTTAATTCTATAAACAGACATAATTTCTTGTTCAGTTATAAAGTTTCACTGTTTAAGTCCTGTAATTGCTGTGTTAAGAATACCGACTAACTTGTCAATTGAAATTTTTTTTGTTTTCAATAACCTCTCTGTCACTTTCTTCACTATCAGAAGCGGTATTTTCTGGATCTAGAACCATACTACAGATTTCGCCATCTGTTAATTTATTGATGACTGGGGCATTGCCGTCACAATGAAAAACTTTTGTTACATCATCTTCATTTATTACCGCTTCTCCTTATTTCTTTACAAAATCCAATAACTGGAAAATTTCACCTTTAGTTGCTTTAGTTTTACCTTTAAGTGTCCAAAAACCATCACATTTGTGGCTATCATCTTCATCGTCCTCACCATGAAATATGGTAGCTGGCCATAAATTATGCCAAGCATTTTTTAACGTATGTGGAGACACATCCTCTCACGATCTTGCGATGCTCCCCACAGCAGATTTTATACTAAAAAATTTCAAAACGTCTTGAGCAGTCTTGCCATTGTTCAAGAAATTTAACACAGATTTTAAAAATCCTACTTTATATTTGCATTTCAGCGCTTGCACTATTCCCATATCCATAGGCTGAATGATAGACATATAATTTGGAGGGAAGAATTATATGGATACATTATTCTTCCCTTCTTTCACTAAAACTTTAAGTATGCGCCAAACAGTTGTCAACAATCAGGACTATTTCTGAGTCATCAGATAAACCAACCAAATTCAAATGTCGCCGAGCCTTGGGTATAAAATGATTTCAAAAAAATAATAAGCCAGATCCAATTAGAAGATTGAGGAACAGCACAATCTGCAACATTAACTGAAATGCCTTAGAACCAGTAAAGATAACTTTAGCCTCACTTATACCATCTGTTATACATTAAACATGCATGCGTACAGCATACAAAAAAATGTTTGTGGCTTTGAGGTCCGGATTATAGATCATTCCAGATAATGAACGTCCGGATTACGGACTTTGTACTGTATATAATTTATTGATTATTAATTTAACAAACATTCTCTATCCATAAAAAGCAAATTATATATTATGCATTTATTAAATGTTCATAGATTTTGATACTTGCACTTGATTTATATATGCTCTCAAAATTTAAATGATACAGTACAAAATCCGTAATCCGGGCTTGCCGGAACTTGGGCAATTCTGGATTAGGGTTTTTTCCAAATTATAGATCATCAATTTAAATCTGGTAAGATGGCATGCAGAAATTATACAATTAAAAATATGAAACCGTAATTTATGAAATAGAGAGCAATTATGATCTAAAGGGATCAAAATTTACAAAAAAAAAAAGCTTAATATTTATTTGTTTACTTTAGTAAACATTTCTGTTAATGTAAGTTGTTTAAGTTGCTTCGTTTTTTGTGCTAATACTTTCTCTTTAATTCTATAAACAGACATAATTTCTTGTTCAGTTACAAAGTTCCACTGTTTGAATCCTGTAATTGCTGTGTCGAGAATACCAACTAACTTGTCAATCGAAATTTTTTCGTTTTCAATAACATTTTTCTGTTACTTTCTTCACTATCGGAAGTGCACATGGGTAAATGCTTTACTGGCTTTATGCACATATGTAGCGGACGCCCGCATCAAACGCGCATGCGTAAATGCATTACATGCATGTGTAAGTTTGTGGCTTTGAGGTCCGGATTATAGATCACTCTGGATAATGGACATCCGGATAGACTTTGTACTGTATTTTAGATTAGTTCGCAGCAATAATTAATCATTTATTTGTAATTCAATTTCATTTAAAATTTAATTAACTTTAAATTTGCTTTTTATAAATAGAGAATGTTTGTTAAATTGAAAAAAAATAATTTATTGATTAGTTATTTATAGATTAAGTTTTTATTAAATAAAAGCACAGGAAATTTTTTTACTCCTGTGTTTTAAAAAAGAAACATCTACAGAGAATGATATTGTATAAATGATAAATCAAATAAAATTTAATCAACATGACAAATATACATTTACTGAACACCCTAAAATTCATAAATGGCATTTTAGCAACAATTTGCTCACAGTTATCAGCTAAAATGAAAAATTATAATACTGACAAATAATGGATAACTACGTACCTTCATTAAATTTTTCACCCGCTCTTTATAAGAAGGCAATACAGAAATGCATACAAATTCATATAAATCGATGTCAATGTTAATTCTTCCACTTTTTATGAATATCACCACAAAGTGCCCTATTCTTACATTTCATTACACTGTTTTTTATTTAATTACCTAACTTAAAACTCCATTTAACTGAACTGCACTTACTGAAGTAATGGAGAAAAATGAACAATAAGACCAAAATTTAATCACCTGCAAATTTTGTAATCAGTTTATGTCATTGCCTCATTATTTATAAGCAAATTTATATTTTATAATGAAGGCTCAGGTATGGAAAACAAGTACCTAGGCTAAAAGCCACATCCTGTGTTTAACGCATGGAGAAATGACATGACTTTTCTACCATAACATTAGGAAATGTTCGCTAAGAATTCTAGAAAATTTCTTGAGGTTGGAATGTGATGAGCCTTGCGTATAACACCTTCGGGTACTCTGCCTAACAGACAGTAATACTGCATTGGTTGAGGGAAGTAGAATGAAGAATTAAGTCCAGAATATAACTGCATGAGTTTCCTGTATTCCTATTGGTCCGTCATAGAAATTTTATAATGATCTCGTGATACTGTAAGCAAAAATAGTGGTATGAGAAATTGCCATCCACGGTAACTTTCAGGTATCTTTGTTTATTGCAACAACATGTCAACAAAAATCTGTTTTGCACATTTCTGATTTGTGGAATATTCTTCCATTGGTCAAACTGGATAATGATTTGATACAGAATTTAAAAATTAACATTAAAATTCAGATGCTGCATTTGCAAAAATGAGAATAAACATGTTTGATAAATGATATGAAACTAAAAGCTTGTACAACAAAAATGAATGTCCAATAACAAATTAGAGTCAGTTGATCAATAATAATTTACTGACTATTATAAAACTGATAAATTAAGATAATATCTAAAATGTAAAATCATATTACCAAAAGACATCTAGCAACATTACATCCCAATGTTCCAGCACCAAATAATAGGCAACGAGCAGCTTTTATGTCTTCAAGCTGCAGTTCAGGAAGCAATCGCCATCGCATAAGTTTTAAGTTGAGATCAACAGCAGCATCAGCTAATCTAAGAAGTATAAAAACATACATATAAGAAATGCAATACACATTGTATTACAATACAGTAAGCATACACAAAGAGTGAAGTTGTGCACAGTTGTACAGCAGCGTTTTCACACTTCAAAAGATCACATACTTGATTTTTAGTTGATTGAAAAATCAATAATCCAGAATCACCGAAGTCCCGACGAGTCCGGATTAAAGACTTTTGACTGTATAATTGTTACTTGGCCATACTTATGAAATTACTTGTGGTTGTTTCCTTATTATTCCATAGCAGATTGTAACTTATTTATTGACGTTTCTTAAAACAATGACAAATACCAAACTCATTATCAAGTAGAAAAATAGAAAGAAGAGATAAAATTATACTAACTTAGTTGGATCCATATTAGAGCTCATATCAACCATTTTAGGAGCAAGTTTATTTTGGTTTTTTTCCCAACCCACTATATCTGGACATTCTGAAAATACAATTCAGAAACAATTCCAACTTTATGTTTATTGTAATCTTCTGTATGAATTATGAGTAAATTTCAGAAAATTTATTTCAAAAGTATGAAAGGAAGCATGCATAAGATATATGTATACGCACCAACTGGAATATCTGGCAAAACCAACTGAATTGTAAGAACAATACTATGTTCACAGTGGCGTTTCCCTTCTTTCACAAACTCTCTCAAGCAAATTACATCCCAAGTGTTTTGATATTTCCCCCTAAAAATTCAAATTATCCATCAAAGAAGTCATAGTTTATAATAAGTCATTTGTTCAATTTTCATAAAAGTATACATATAAAATAGACATCATGAAATTTTTTTAAAATTCCATAAAATAATTAAATGAACAAAACAACTATGAAGCCAATGAAATTTCACTAAAATTTAATAAGGACTGATTAAAAGTGAATCCTAAAACATCATAGTATTAGAAATCCATTTTGACAAAAAAAAATTTTTTGTGTCAACATATATCAGCGTTAAAAAAGTAGATTCTGTAATTTGATTTCAGTTTACCAAACAAAAGGAAAATCTGCCTGTTACTTCATGCTAAGAGCACAGTTTCTCAATTTCTACAGTAAAATAAATGATAAAAACTTCAAAAAATAATTCTTGAAAAGCATAGATATGTGTGTGAGCGTGTGTAATGTGAAAAAGAAGCACATGCAAAATTTATCTTACACTTAACTGATTTAATAGAATAATTTATAAAAAAAATTTTACTGAACCTAACATCAATCTGAGATTAATTTTTGCCTAATTTTCACTCTATAAATGTTTGATTTATGCTCTTTATAATTAATATTATTAAAATAATCCATAATTTTAAATTTTGCTTTGATTCAATCAAACCCCAAAGTGATTTTGTATTTAAATCTTTTTTTATTGTATTTTTGTTCTCCGATATTGCTGGAATGTTTATATTATTATTATATTTATTGTTTTTAAGATGATCATTTTGGGATTTATTTTGCATTTAATCTAATTTTTGCCAAATTTAAGTGTTTTTTTGTAATACAAAATTGTAAAACTTTCATTTCTGCATGCTATATCATTTGAACTGTAAAAATAGCTCAACTAGAATACGAGAGATAGGTAATTTCATTCCTAACAAGGCCAACTTTGCAACTCTTTGAACGATTCAAGGAAACAGATTTAGCCACGACCAGTTCTTATAGAAGTTTCTAGAGTCCATGCTGTAATATATAAATATGGGTCTGAGGGCTAGGGAGTTTAGTTGCGAGATTTAGCAGTTAGCTGAAATGTAAAGTATTTATCCTGAAAATGATTTGTGAAACTTAACAATATTTTTCATGCACTAAAGAGGAATTACTTCATATCCATGTTCTTGCTCTATTTCCAGCTGTGTATTATTTAATGTGTTATAAAAATTTTTAATAAACTTTTCATTCTTGCTCTTTATCTGGACTTATTACTTAAAGAAACAAAAAAACTCATAAATTACAACAACTGGTATCAGTAGCGGGATTTCTATGCTGATAATTAGGAAGATGGAAGAGCAACTGAAAGCCACAGTGGACAAGACTGCTGCCATCCAAGAATAAGCAGCAGACCTCAACAGAACTGAATGCTGCAGAAATGAAGAACTTCATGGAAGCAAAAGCCATACAGATGAAGAAGCAATAGTATAGTTCAACCATCTCAAATGCAACCTTAGCATTAATGCATTAAGCATTAGTTGGCATTAACACATTGGTTTAGAGAAACATTTTTCAAGAATTACTGTTGACTGATCTTAGGAACTGACAAGTGAAAGCAAACAAAAGAGACCCTCAAAAATTCATAACTGACATAAAAAAATTCATGTAAGTTCACTTCCAGATTGTAGCCAAGAAATTAAAGACACACTAAGTCTCCAGTATTTTATGGATGCTATCAGGGATCTTGAGATACAAGTACTCCAGATACATGATAATAAATATCTGAAGAGTGTTCTAGTGTATGCCATGAAAGTACAGACTGAGCAGAAAACCAGCAAAAAGGACTGTAGGCCTGTAAGACCCATATCTGAATTATACATCTGCATCTTCATCAGAAGAAGTATTAAAGACACAATGCTGAACTGATGAAAAGAGTGGAGGTGATACAAGCATCCAAGATGAAATACAGCAGTGATAAAAGTAACATAAAATGGTGGGACTGTAACAGAACTAGTAAAGTAAAATCCTGGAGTTGTAATGGATTTATAAAAACAGTGCCAATTACCTCCAGCTCAAAGCACCAAAAATATATCAAAAGAGTCAAAAGAGCAGCTAAGAAACTACTAAGCGGCTATCTCAAATGGTAGAGGTTGCCAAATGCAAAAAGTGCCCATAAAACATTCTTCAAATATCTCACTTCCGGATGGAAATCAAGGGCTGCTTATGGAATAAGAAATCACACCAAAGCAAAAGTGACCATTTTGTGATGTGATATAACCAGGCATTTGAATTGACACCTTCCTATTTACAGCTCCATCGTAAGTTCTACAAACTGTAAATGCACAGAAAATGTCAATGTATGGAAAAATGGCTCTGCATATCAAGTTTGCATCCCATGCACACAATAACACATTCTACATGGATGATATAATAAACCTATGCATCCTCAGAGGCTTTTTAAAGAAACATGGATTTTGCTTAGACATAAAAAATAATGAATTGTGCACCTTCAATGAAGAAATACAGTACAGTTTGGAAAGTATGAAAATGAAATAAGTTGCTACAGTATAATTGCTCATAATATTATTATCTTTCCAAGAATGAAATGCATCATCAACCATGCAGTGAAAACTCATGAGAAGTTGAGTGGGGGAATTGCTGATTTCACTAAGAAAACTACATATTCAAAAAGACTTTTAAGCGTGACTACCCTTGTAGACCGGTTGGAATAGCCAACATAAGTGAGAGGCTATATACTTTCATGAAAGGAGATGAAACTGATTTGTGTTCTCTTATGATAAGCCTCATGCAGAGTTTCACCAATCAGAAGCAGAGTCCTCTAATTTAAAGATTTAATTGAGAGTACAAATTAAATGATGCACAAATTCAAGCTACAAGTCTTTTAAATAAAATAATCTGAAAATGTCTTGCCAACTTCGTCTTGTGATGTTGGTCGCATGAAAGTTAAGACAGCATCGGATAGACACTGGAAAACATTAAACTATCAAGCAATATCCTCGGTATCTTCCATTCTCAAAACAAGAAGTCGGAAAACTTCTGAAGAAGATGCAGATGTCCTATCAATGAATATTCCCTATCAAGCCTGAAGATACCCTATGAAGCCTTCATATAATCCTTTGGCACCACCCATCATTTTAGTTTGGAAGAAATACAGATCTACACAATTCAGTGTAGATTACAGAGGTCTAAATGCCATTCCAAAGAAAGACATTTACGTATTGCCTAGAACACACCCTAGCAGGAAACAAATGATTTTCCACTTTGAATTTGAAGAGCAGCTACTAGCAAGTGGAAACAGACCCTAAAAATTATGAAAGGTCTGCATTTACTACCAGTCAAGGACTGTGACAGTTCAAAGTAATGCCTTCTAGACAACGCAACACTCTAACAATATTCAAATGTCTCATGCAGACAGTTCTGAAAGGACTCATGAGACAGTATATTCACAAAAACATTCATTAAACAAAGCAGCACGTTTGCAAAATAGTTATGTGACAACCCAATGATGTCGCGAAAAAGTACACATGTGATAACGTAGGTACGGTGGCACATATGTCTGTTTTGGGTAGTGTGCAATGCTGACGCTGCACAAATTCCAAGTTTGTCCAATTAACGGATAGTTTCAATAATTCTGCAAATGCCTAAAATGCGTCTTTACAAAGTCATATATATTATATCAACCCAATATACAGTAATATGTTAAAAACATACGTATTATAATACATATATACAGAAATTTAATTACACAGAAATATGTTTAATTTAAACACAAAAATATTTTATTTGGAAATAAGATTTTTAAAAATATTATCTATACCAGGAATATGCAACTAATGACAATACATTTCGCAGTGGCCAACCTGGGTATTTATCATAAGTACATGGATCTGCAAAACCAATAAGTATCTAAAAAATGAAAAAAAAATCACATAAAATATAGTTTTAACTAAGAAATTCTCCAAAAGTATAATACAGTCAAAAGTCTTTAATCCAGACGTCCATAATCTGGAATGATCTATAATCCAGAACTCAAAGCTACAAACTTTTAATAGCTTACAAACTCAAAGCTTACAAACTTTAAACGTATAATGCGTTTACGCATGCATGTTTAATGTATAATGGACGGTATAAGCTAAGCTAAAATCATCTAATTATCTAATTCAGTTAATATTGCAGATTGCGTTGTTTTTTAATCTTCTAATTGGATCCGGCTTATTATTTTTTGCAGACTGTTAGAGCAATTTTATAAAAGGAAGCTTGAACTTTCGATCATGTCAAAAAGAATTTCCAATTCTGGAGCTCCCAAAAGATCTACAAAGCGAAAGCATGTTTCGATGGCCATCAAACAAAAAGTAGAATTGCTGCAAAAAATGGATAAGGCATATCCTTTGTTTCTCTAACCATTCTGAAATCTTTTTATCAATTTCACGCTGCTCTGTGGGGGAGGGGGAAACATCACGGCACGCAATGAACTGGAAGTTGATCTGTCAGCACTATCCTTATCTTCAGGGGATGTTTTTATTTTATTTGGCTTATAATTCCTTACTAAATGTAGTATTTCATCTCAATGTACTCCATCTTTGATATGATTTAAATCAAATTCCTCGTCATTACAAATATCACGAATACACATCAAATAGTTTTCTGGCTGCAATTTTCTAATTTCGACTCTGTGTAATGTATGCTTTACGATTGCGCGTGTTGAAAGAATGTTTAATAAAGTAAACAAATAAATATTAAGCTTTTTTTTTTGTAAATTTTGATACCCTTTAGATCATAATTGATCATAATTTAGATCATAATTGCTCTTTATTTCATAAATTACGGTTTCATATTTTTAATTTTATTATTTCTGCATGCCATCTTACCAGATTTAAACTGATGATCTATAATTTGGAACCGCCGAAGTCCCGATGAGTCCGGATTAAAGACTTTTGACTGTATCTAACTTTTAGTTAAAATTAAATTGCATGCAAAAGATCACATTTTTTAACATAAATATTAGTAGGTCTTTCAGAGTTAGAGTCTTTCAGAGTAAAATAAAAGATAGATTAGAATCTAAAAATTACCTTCCCCTGTAACATTTTCAACTTATTATAGTCACTGAATTTATGGGCATGGCATTTCCCCTCTTCATCTATGAAGACCAGAAAGCCCATTTTACTTGAAACTGAGAGATCATCATATGAATTCAGAAACTGGTTTAACTAAAAGTGGAAGAAAGTATAAAATCAAAATATGCTAGCAATTTGATATAATTTAACTGCAAAATTAAAAAACTGAAAAAAACCTTCAAAATTTATTATATGTTATATATACTGTAAAATTAGAAGTTATTTATTGATTGAAGTTATTTGTCTATTGAAGTTGCACTATTTGTTGATTTAAAATATGAAAAACAGGTAAGTAATATTTTTCAGTTATTACAAAATGCTAAGGAAGCTGCTGTTAGAAAGAAGATAAGCTGATTGAATTGATTCTGCCACTATGGATATTGTATTGTATGTTGTGAAAAAAATTTAATGAACCTATTAAGACTGTTGAAGAATATATATTAAAAAATATTTTAAAAGAAGACCTTTCAACTCATCATACTTTTAGCAAGCTGCTCATTTACTTATTAAATTAGCAATGATGTTTTTGTCAATATAATCATATGTAATCCCCTCCCTAAATTTTAACTGCTCGGGTATCATTTTGTTAAATCTGTCTTAAATCGAAAATACATAGTTTTATTCTGTCAGATTTCTTGGAATTTACAAAAGATTTCTACCCCACACAAAATTTTAAAAAAAAAGCTAAATTAACTTTTTTTCATAATAACTGTTTTAACTAAATTAAAAATACAATAAAGTAATTATTAATTTTCATAAACTTTAAATGACTAATTTATTACATTATTAATTTAACTAAAATGTCTACATATTTAAAAATAGATATCTTATTTTACAGGCTAATAAATAATTACAGCCTAATAAATAGTTTATAAAATAAAAGAAACAAACTTGATCAGCTGTAAGATATTCATGAAGTTTCTTTGTTTCATCACTCCTAATGACTTTTGGAAACGTTAATGCTGGAAAAGCAATCCAATAATAATAGCGATACTTTTTTAAATCCTATATAAAAACAATGGAAGACATAAGCATAAAGGCAATGTATATTCAATAAAGCAATTTTTATAAACAAAAAATTAAATTACTCACAGCAAAAGTTAAGCAAAGTAATAATTGCAATACAGATGGATCTTCTAAAGCAGTTCCATTTTTAATAGCATCCCACACCTGGTAAAATATTCATAAAATTCTTTTAATAAATATGTTACTTTAAATATTCATACAATGGTGATATTTAATAGAAAATACACAAGTCAGCTTTAAAACAGTGACAGTGACAGTCCACAGTTATTAATCAAACAATAAAAAATAAGCATTTAAATAATCTCACTGAATACAATCTAGCAATTAAATTTTTTTTAAACCATATTTATTAGAAATAGAAGACAATTCATATTACAAGAAACTTCTAATAAAATCATATCAATAATAAAGTAACATGTCAGTGAGGTCAAAGCAATGTATAATGATTTTATAATATTCATTCATGAAGAGCCTATGACAAGAGTTAATGTTAGAACAAAATGAGCATGGAAAATAGTAACATCAGACAATTTTAATATATTAGATCATAATTTGAATTGCCTCCACTTTACAAAGTTCAAAATCCCCACCAGTGGCCAAGCGGTAAAATAAATCACTGAACACTGGTAGTTCTAACCTGGATTCAATTCCAAACAAACAGGCTGGATAACCCTAGTGCTATTTGCCATAATGAACTAAACTAAACCAATCAAAATTTGTTACTAAATACCTATATACAATCTTGTGGAAAATTAAGAGAATTTGTATATTATGTAGAATTTTTGAAACATTAACAGACATATTTTAATGAAATTTGTACAAATACATATTTATAACAGAGAAATGTACCATTCAAAAGTCAATTTATGTACTCATGATTCTGCAGTAATGCCCAAAATCCACAATGTGATATCAGACTGAAAATGGGGTTATATGTAATTAATGTTATAAATAAACTAATATGAGGTATGGTCCCCTCTCACAGCCAGACAGGTCGCGGAGCGTGACGACATACTGAACAGAAGGCAACTGAGGAGTCCATGTGGCAGTCAATCCCACTCCTGTAGCAAGGCAGTTTTCAGGTCTGGGATGGTTCTCAGAGAAAAATGGCGACATTAAATAGTCCTCTCAAGAGCATCCCAGACATGCTGTATAGGGTTAAGAACAAGAGATCTGGCTAGCCATCCATGCAGCTAATATTCTCACTTTCCAAGTAATCAACAACCAGCTGAAGCCCAATATAGATGATCATTGTTGTCCATTAACTATTGTTGGTTATGATTACTGTTGTCTATTGTTGCATTCCCATCTAGAATTATCTCCATTGAAGCTTTCACAGTTCTGTTTGCAGTTTTTTTTTTTTTTCCAAAACACTCATTTGTTACATAACAAATGCAGTTGTCAATCTATTGTTCATATGGACCTTGGTCAACCTTCTAGAATGGTTTTTCCATTTCATAAAAAAAACTACATGAAATAACAAATTCTTAAGTTTTATGGGCATTTTTTCTGTGTGCTCTCTTCTTTATTATTTAGCAACCTGTTAGTTTTATAAGCATTTTTTTCTGTATGTTATCTTCTGTACATCATGCAATTATTTTGAGGTAAATTCAAATATTAAGTTACTCTCAATTCAAATACTGAGTTGTTTATTTACATATTATTCTATCAACTATGAAACTGTCAGCAAGCAGTGGGATTTAGTACCAAATATGGTACATAACAACACATTCATAACCTCTGCATTTTCATCTGATGCAACACCAATTTTCAATAAACCACATTTTGTTTTTATTGAACAAAGATATAAATTAACTATTATTGCTGTACTTTTTATTTGTGTTTCGTGGTTGGGGGAACCCCCTTCCCTAAAATTTGGTATCTGCCATCTACAGAACAGAAAGCAGTCAATTATTTTCATAGTTATGGGTTCTACTATGAAAACGATGTATATTAACCGATAAAATATGGTCACTTAAGCATAACCAATAAAACAGCAATGCACTGTAACAATTACTTGCGGAAACATTGTACTCACAGTATTCTAAACAGAGCTTCTGATAAAATTTGAAGGCCTAACAAAATAAAAATGAAGGGGTTAAAAAGCAATGTTTATTAAATAAATAGGCATTGGTTGCTTCAGAATTCTGCAAAAATGTTTGGTGCCAACTTTCATGCTTCAATGGTAACCCAGTCAACAGGAATCGTACAGTCAACATAAGTACTTGTTGTTTATTTTCACATTTGGAGCTTACTTTTGATGCTTTGTTCCTTTGTATCAAAAACATGTGAGCTGATGTAACCAATAAGTACCATCAGTTTTATGAATTAACCCACATAAAGAAACAATTTTAAAACATTCCACTTTGAAGCACTGGTCACTTGCAATTTTCAGTTTCAAATGCAATTAAACATATGGAATTTGGAGGATACATGTGCATGCATATATATGTATATAATACAATAAATTTTGAAATTCACTAATTTTAAAGTTTTTCTTTTTTGCTATATATATAACAGATGAAAACCATCATTTAAATCTGAAAATTGTAATTATTTTAGAGTACAGAGATGAAACAAAAGTGATATAAAATAGCAAATGAAACAAATACGAAAATTTTCATTTGTCTAAAGTGCTGTGTCATAATCGAAATTCTCACATTCTCACTTTATAATATTACTAGATGTACAGTTTTCAAACTTAGCAATAAGTATAATAAAGAAATGGATTTTAGTTGCTGTAATAAAAATTATTCAATAAAGTCACCATAACTGAAGGGAAATGTAACTTTAATCCCAGATATTCTTAGTTCTAATTAATAAATATTTTAGTAGCATCCAATATTTTCTGCAACACTGCAGCATTTCATGCTGGTGGGGGGGGGAAGGAGTACACATTATTGGAGGCCTCAAGGCAACAAAAATAAGCATAATATTTGCAGGACTCTTTCAAAGGTTTAAACATAGAACCTGCTTCTTCAGCTGCAGAAGTGCAAATAATGAAAGAGAAGCCTGTGCTCAGGTGATAACAAAGAGAGGGAGGAAATCAAGCTATTGGAACCATCTATAGATGAAAAATAAAGAGAACTATGAAATAAACTTCTTAATAGCTGCGAGTAAAGATTGATTGGAATTAGTATCAATAGCTAAAACTGAAATATTTTACTGAATGTGAAATGCCTCCAGAAAAACTTATTCCTCAACGAAAGATATTTTTTTTGAATAATTTTAGCTGCTGCAAAACAAAAATGTGGTTTTCTCACCTGTGATTCAACAGAGGATTTATTAGCCTAAAGGGGTGCTAGCCCGGAAGAGCTATAAGTCTCAAAACCTCATTTTCCATTGAATTGCTATAAACGGCTATATCACTTTTTAAATCTTTAATAAGTTTAATTCAAATCCATAATAAGTTTAATTTGTTCGTCATCCAAGAAAATTTAGTGTTTTGGATCTACGTATATTGAACCCAGCAAGATCCCATTGTCTAGCAAATTAGCTTCTCTTTTCTTCATTGAAGAAATGATTCCTTCTGCAAAATAACCCTCCATTTCAGAAATAACAAACATCCCATTCTTGCCTCCTGTCAATTCTTCACATTGCAGCTTTTTTGTGGCTATATATGGCGTACAATGAAGAGTTTCCAATTCTACCTATATACGGTGTAGAATGAAGAGTTTCCAATTCTGCAAGATCATTCCACAGTCTTTCTGTTAGTGGAACATTAGGGTTATCTACATATTCTAAAAAAGTTCTTAATTCTAAAAACCTCTTTATCATCAAATATACACTTCCTTATCACATCGCTTGATCAATAATTGCTCCTTTTCCTGCTCGCTTCCTAAGAATGGCATCAATTTTGGGAGTTCTTGCTGATATTGCTGTTTACCTAAATTTACCAGCGAGATTTGTAACTAAATGAATCAGTTTAATCACTAATGGCAAATATCACATCTATCCTCCTAACTTATATTTATTTATTAATATATCAATAAAAAGGAAAATAACTATTTATTAATGTATATAGTCCATAAATAAAAATAACTCAGCTTTTAAGTTTTTTCAATTCATTTTAATTTCATTTCAAATTCAAACTGTCCAACAAAAACTGGAGTTAGAGTCAACCTGTTTTTAGTGACTCCAGCTCCGACTCCTTTTACCCCAAAATCTGCCCAATTCCGATTCCGACTCCATGACTCCAACTCCACAGCCCTGCTTTGAAGAAATAAAAAAGGCCAGGAACAGGAAGGTGATTTAGAAAATTCATGTCAATTGATAATTTTGGGTGAATGTGAAAAAATTTTATTAATAATATTAGACTTTTGATAACTTAAATTCTTAACAGATTTTCATGTTCATGGTCCCACTGAGATGAAAACTGGCTTTGTCAATCCACAAGATATGCCAAGGGCAAGAGTAATCTACTTCTATTCTTGATAAAATTTGCAAAATATAAATAATCAGCATTATGCTACTTAATTGCAATTGTTAGTGGACTGATTCTTTTACTCAGATACTAATATACCTTTTGGATATCTTTACTAACCATAATAAGTGGCAAAGCCAAATCATATGAAAAGAATACTAATTTTTATTTGTATTTGCCTTGGAGTTTTCTTCCACTGCAATGCAACACATTCCATAATTTGTACATTTTTTAATACGTCAATCATTAAACTAAGACCTTATCCTGCTTTAATTCTAAAAGGGTTATCTGAATTATGAGATACACTTTTGTGAAGGATTTTCGAAATAAAGTACTATTAAGAATAACTGGTCCAGTCATCAACTTTACAACATTCTTAATGCATTTGCAGCACTATTATTTCACTATTTCACAAATAACGCAAGGTCTTTTAAAAACACAATAACACTTTAATGCCCTGACTGGAAACCATGATTTTATGGTAAAGAAAATCACATATTATTTTATTTTGCACATAAAAATCACATTTGATGAGGCAAGAGTTAAGGCTTTTCTCCTGTATGGCAAGAACCTGTTGACCACTCATGCAAGACCTCCCATAAGCAATCATATTACTCATGATAGCAGAGAATGAACTTGTACATATGTTTTTTATTTAAAAAAATTAATTAGTTTCATTGTGCTACTACCACATAGCCTCCTTTGCTGCATTTTCAAGTTT